GTCTGCCAGTACAACGTCTCAGTAAAAGCTCATTTTTCTTATTCCATCCCCACTCTGGCTGACCTGAAAACTCAGAGCCTTTAATTGATGCACATGTGAAGCATTTCATGCACCTCGATAAAGTCTCCTCCTGTAGGAAACATCTCCTCTCTTCTCAGCAAGATGCCAAGAGAGCCCCAAGGACACACAGGATTGACACCATTATTGCACAAAGTGAGAGAAGCTATTTTTTCTGTTCACATTCTGCTTGCATTGAAATAAAAAAAAAAATCTTTTTACTTGAGGGACTTCCTTTAAGCTGGAATTTAAACCATCTGATACATCAAGAGAGGGCTGAGGTACACAAATAAAGCCCTGTCTTCTTTTGAAAATTAAATACATGAATTTTAAGTATTTAAGAATGTATATATTTTATATATTTATATATTTTATATATAATGGTATATATTTATATATATATACCATTATATTGGTATATTTTTATAATGGTATATATTTTTATATATAAAAATATATATAATTTATAATGGTATATTGTATTTATAATGGTATATATTTTTATATATATAAATTTATAATGGTATATATTAATATATATAAAGCATATATATATATTTATATTTATATATACTTTTATATTTAGGGGCTGGGACTACATTATGTTTAAGGTCCCTTCCAATTGAAACTCTCCTAGGTATTTGTTTTGGTTTAGGGCAAATTTGGGAGAGAATTTTTAAAGGGGATTTTTTTTTTAGAAAAACAGATTTGATTGTTGTTTGGTTTTTAATTGGTCTGGGAGAAAATATTTTTTTTAGAGAAAAGTGGGAAAAAATTGTTTATTAAACGATAAAATATTAAAACTTAAACAATATAAAACTATAAAATTTTTTGTTGTTTTAAAAGTGATGACAAATTTAGAAAAGTTTTTTTTTTCTGGTTGTAATTTGGCTTATTTAGTTTTTTATTAGGTTTTCTTTGTGTTGAAAATGCTGCAGCCCAGACCCATTTTGGGGGGGTTATAGGTGTGAATTGTTTTGGATTTTGGGTGTTTAGTTTAGAGTAAGTTTAAACAGCTTTAAAGAAATGGGAAAAAAAATATAGGGAATTTTTTTGTTTTAGTTAGTGAAAACTAACTAAAAGTAGTGTTTTGTTTTGTTGTTTATTTGTAGATAATATAGTTTAGTAGGAGGAATGTGGAGGAGTGAGTGTAGTGTTTGCAAATAAACTGTGTCGGATTTTTTTTACTTTTTGGAATAAGTTTTAAAGGTGTAAACTTATTATTTAGCATAAACAGAATAAGATCATCATCAGCTTACTATTAAAAAATACATAAAAATTAGTATATATTTATATAATACAAGTATATATTTATAATATATATAGCATAGAATATATATGCTATATATAGTATATATTTATATAAATATATATAATATAAATATATACTAATATATTTATATAATAGTATATATATTTTATATTATATATTATGTATTATATATTATGTATTATGTATTATGTATTATGTATTATGTATTATATATTATATATAATAATATTAGTATATATAAATATATACTAATAAATAACTATTAGTAATTTATATAAATACTAATATAAATTAATGCCATCACTCTGCTGCTCCCCTGACTTTGGGCACTCCCCACCCCTTCCCCTTCCTGAACCACACTTTTATTACATCCATGTATTGTCCAAGACAGCCATAACTGGAGCTCACTAAATAAATTTGCTTGAAGAAATTTATACAGGGTTTGAAAGTTTAATGCAACTGCCAAAAGATTTTGGAGTGCTGGGAGAATTAATCTTGCTAGTCATTACATTTATTGATTCCAATCAAGCTTCCAGGCATCAGCACAGGTGCCACTGCTAAGAAATAAAAAGTTTCCAGGAAATCTCCACGTAAATCTGAGGTGACTGCCAGCTTTGGGGAAGCGAGGAAAACTGAGGAAGAGCTGTGTAATCTGCATGCCAGTAAATGCTGGGCTCATGGCATGTCAGGCACCACTTGAGGAGCTTTTTCTCCAATAGTGATTTTAGAACCAGATGAGACTTCAAGTCTCAAGATAAGACTTCAGCCCTGAGCCTGCAAAATGGCCAATATTCATAACAGTGTTTTGTCTTTCAATAATCTGTCAGTTCCATTAGGGATGAAAAGCCAAAAGGCACTTCCACACATAAAGGTTGGGTCATTTCTCTCTTCTTTTATAATTAGAATCTGAATGTAGTTGAAGGTAGAAGCTGAGCAGCCATGCAATCATTCTACACTAAATAAATAGAAAGAGTAACTTTGCTGCTACATTTTCCCTCCAGAACAAGTGAGGCTTTTCATTTGAGGATGGAAGAAAACAACTGCAAGTTTTGGAAATAATTTATGACATTTGCCTGAGTTATCCTAGGAGAAAAAGAGTATTTGGGAAGGGATGAAAAATAATGGCACAAGTTTTTTTTGTTTTCTACAGCTTCTACTCCAATTCTCCCCTAGGACTGGAATGCAAACCACAGCTACTGCTGAGGGAACACCACAATCCAGCCAGCATTTCAAAGAGTTTGGTTGAGTACAGCATGAGATAAACACTTTATTTCCACAATTGAAAACTGATTTTAACATAATTGCTTTTCACTTTTTTTTTTTTTTTTTTTTGTGTGTGAGTTGGTGGTTTTGTATGGGAGGTATCTACAAAAGTGAACTTCTGTGTAGCTGACAATTACAGTCACTAATCTCAAAAACATCTCAGTAATCTCAATAATCTCATCTCAGTAATCTCAATAATCATCTCAATAATCATCTCAATAATCATCTCAATAATCTCATTTTTAAAATAAATCTCAAAATTATAAAAAATCTCAAATTAGCAAAACCAAAACCATTATAGTGTGGTATAGATTATATAAGGCTACACTGGAAAACACTTGGAAAAATAATTATTCCAAAAGTTTCCTGCAACTCTGAGTTTCTGAGATATTTTTACTTGTAGTGGTTGCATTAAATAAGAGCAGTACTGAAAAGAGGCCCATGGGAAAGACCTTTCTGGATCAACTGTGAGCTAACAATTTCTTCAATTGGTTGGGGTGGCTCATATTATAATAGAATAAATATTTTAAAACTTTCCTATTTCTGAGCATTTCGCTTTCTATTTACATTTATAAGAGAACAACACCTGCAATGCTAAATAGAAAAATGTCAATAACTTGCCAGAATTTCTTGATGCTTGCCATTTTGCACAAATACAACTCGGATGTAATTTAATCCTTGTTAGGCCTTACAAAATTAAGTTAAATGTAAAGTATAAATAATGACCAGCCTGCTCCATTTGAATTTTCTGGGTTTTTCTGTGTCATCATTTGACTTTTTAAATGAGAGTGATTTTGGGACTTGCTCTGAAACAACAACATCAAAAGTACCTTACAACTTCCTGTCTAGGTTGATTGTAAACCTGTTGTGTCCACAAAAATAAAGGAATTTTCTGCCTAGATAACACCTAACCTAGCACAGGATGAACCTGTGGAATTTTGTGTGCAAGTTTCCATGAGCTGATGGTGCTGGGAAGGATTTGCTGCTCCACTCCTGACACAAAGGAGAGTTTATTGCTGACTGCCCCTTGGAACTGAAAGCACAGGCACAACCCTAAAAACCTCACAGCAATTTTATTTTCTATTAACTCAACCAAGAGGGAGTATCAGCCAGGAGAGAATGTGCTAAAACATAACATTTAATAATAAAAAACAACCAAAGAAAAAAACCCCCAGAAATAAACTATTTCAATGTTGCTTTTTGAATATATTTGGAGATCTCAGGGAGAATCACCAACACAAATGTTAATTAACCATGCTGGCTGACAAAGGAAACAGATGTGAGTACAGTAATCTTGTGCACTGGAATTAATTACATCAAATTTCAGGTGATGACACAAATAAAGGTCAGGTTGTACTGCTGAGGTGATCAAGAACACAAACTGCAAATCTATTGCAACATTTAATAACCCCCCATTCCCCACAGGGCAGGAACCCTTTCAGGCAGCTGTGTGATGAGCAAATACTTAAATGTCACACCTGGAAAATTACCCAACCTGGGCCTCCCACATCAGATGTTTCCCTTTTAAAACCCAACGAGAGCAGCTCTGTTTCTGATGCATGGAAGACAATTCACACTCTCTTTCTAATTGCCACTAATTGCCAGCTACAATTTTATCCACAATTTCAACCCTGAAAAGGATGCTTTCCATCAGCTGCAAGCGGAGAAGAAAAGGCTGGAAGGGAACATTACTCTCATGTGTTTGGATATCCCCTGCAAACCCTAGCTAAGAATGCTTTATCCAGCCCCATGGTGGCATTTCCTGAATTTTACAGAATTGTGATTTAAAAGCATTGAGTAATGTGATAACAGATTTCATCTTCAAGCTACTTTTGAAAACTTCATTCTTACTCTCCATTTCCATTCTGTATTTATCTGATTTCAGCCTCCTACAAGGATCCTGACCGGCTCCTCTCTGTCACTCCAACCTGCCTCCAGTATTCAAGCATTTCATTCAACCTCTGCACCTCTAACCTGTCAGCTCCTTAGAAAATTTAATTCTCAGACATTTGATCACCAGAACCAACATGAAATGAAACATTAGGTAAATTTACTAAACTTAAGCAAATTAACACATGGTTCCACGGCTAACTTTATTAAAGATACATATTAGAGACAAATCACAGGGTTGGATATCAGGAGGAATCTTTCCCTAGAAAAGGTACTCAGGAATTGGAAGGGGCACATTGGTGGAATCTCCATCTCTGGAGGTGGCACTCAGTGCCCTGGGCTGGGGACAAGGTGGGCACTGGGCACAGCTGGGACTCCATGGGCTGGCAGGGATTTTCCAGCCTCAGTGACCCTGGGATTGTTTCCTTTATTATTAAAAAAAAATATTTATTAGTAAAAGTGTATTCCCTCAATTGAACAGCTACTCCAAAAAATGAAATTAAAGAAATCCCCTCACCTTTCAGCCCTGGGTTGGTGTGTGGCTCCCAATGAAAGCTCCAGCTGACTGCGCTGTATTCCTCCTTTTCCTCTGGGCTCTTTTTTCCTTCCACAGCTCCCCCAGCCTTGCTTGTCAGCTGCACCTTATTCCATGGCCATGCAGAAGCACCCAGGGCATCATCCCAGAGCAGCTCACTTGTCCTGCCCCTGTGCTGGCTCAGCAGGCTCCTCCTGGTGCTGCAGGCAGGGAGAAGCCCATGCTCTGTGGGAGAGAAAGCCAGGATATCAGGAGGAGAGCCAGGAAAGCTCAGAAGGCACAGCCATGTAGCCACAGATGTCAATTCATAGAGAGCAGGCAGGCACAACTTCCCAAGGATATTTCCTGGGAACCTCAGAGAAAGAAAAAACAATTCTTACTATCTCGATTACCTGCCCCTGTTGTTTTTGCACATGTGGAATGTGTTAGGAAGATTGTTTACCTGAAGGGAGTTCTTAATTGGATTCTGGCGATGGTTGTTTATTAATATTAATTGGCATAGTGGGTCAAAGCTGTGTCCTGACTGTCTTGAGACAGCCACAGCTTTTTCTGGTTCTATTGTACAGCCAGACCTGGAATGTGACACAGCCAAGACAGAACAGCAGAGAATGATCCCAATGGAAGTGCCTTCCAAACCAACAGCGGCTCTTTAAACCAAAGAAATTATTTGGCCCTCCTTCTCACCCAGCCTCTTTCTAGGTATTTCAGACTGGCAATGAACAGCTACAAAAATCCCAGAATGGTTTGGGTTCAAACCAATCCCCTAAACCATCCCCAGAACGGCTTAGGTTGGAAGGGCCCTTAAAGATCATCGTGTTCCAAACCCTCCAGCAATATATCCTAGAAAAAGACTCCTGCTCATTGCTCTGCTCCTAAGATGGGAAAAAAAGCCTCTAAACTCTTACTTCTCTTTATTAAGTACAGCTCAAAACCTTATGTGCCTTCAGCAAACCCCAAGTGATCTTAAAGAGAGGTTCAGGGGCATTCACCAGAATGCAGAAAACACAACAGGAATATTTCTTGTTTGTTCTCATCAGAACAAGGGTTCTTTTAAATAAAGACAATTTTGTGAATAGATTCCAAAATGCTAAAGAAAATATAAAGTGCAAGGCTTATTTTTCAAATGAAAAGACCATTAAGACATAAAAATTGCGAGTGAAAATTTTCTTAAAACATGAGAAAAGCTTGCATTTCACGACAGTAATAGATTCTAGGAAAAACTAAGTGAAACCCAGTGAAATGAGTTTTTAATATGCAGTTAATGGGCAGATGATGGTTTGCACAGAGCCACAGCACCAGCCTGGGAGGCTGCAGCAGGCACAGGAGCCTTGAGCTGAGCTGGAGCTGCTGCTCCAACCAAGGTGGAAGCAGAGGATGGTCTGAACCAACAGCTCTTGTTGTTTGGAAAAAATCAAAATCACTTCAAAAAAACCAGTTAGAAATGCTTTTCATAAATAAATAAGATAAAAGTTTGGTCCAAAATTGTGGGAAAAAAGCCTGTGCAATGCCATGGTGGAAGGCCTTGGGAACTCAACCTATAGGGTGAGTTTGGCTGGGAAGGAAGCAGGGAAAAACAATGGAGTTCCTTTAACCAGGCAGGAAATTGTGGCTGAAACAAATTTTTGTCTTCCAAATTAGGGCAAAAAATAATCTAAAACTGCTATAAATGTTCTGGAGTTAGTAAATAAGATTTCTATTTTTCTATATAAGAATTCTTATTCTTATAAGAATTCTTAATTCTTATAGGAATTCTTCTTAATAAGAAATCTTATGAATTTATTAATAAGAAATCCTATCAGAAATAAGTTCTTTAATTCTTCGTCACAGGGATGGGTGGAGATGGTTGTGTAAGGAGCAGGTGTTGAGGAGCAATAATCCCATTGGATGCGAAGGAACCTGGAGCCACTGACCACACACAACATCCCTCAGCCGTGGGTCACATGCTTCAAATTATTATTATATAATACTCATTAAATTGAGCAACACTTCAGGAGAAAGCTAATGCTGCTCCAAAGTAGGAAATGCTCCAATGTAGGAAAAGTAAAATCAGAACTTTTCTAAAGTTTCTGAAACAAGTTACCCACAAAATTCACGTGTAGGAAGTGAAGGTGTTGGAAACAGTTTTGGAGCTACTGAGCCAGGATTAATTCAACTCTGATGCACAGATTTGCCATGAAACCATCAGGAATCACTCCTTTGCTCCTGCCTTAGGCTCAACACTAAAGGGGGAAGAATAAAGCAAATGGTCCAGCCAGAACTTCTGAATGCTTGGATCCCTGACTTCCAAAAAGAACCCTTTGATTACAGCACACACACACAGACGTGGATCACCCTGGTGGCAAAGGCTGTGCAGCTCAAAGAGAAAGATTCCTCCCCAAAACAAAGGCTGGCTCTCGATCACAAATATTCCCCACTCTCCTCCCCTGGTGCCAAAGAGAGAAAGCAGCAGCAATTGCACAGGAGCTGCTCTCAGACAAGTGACATTTAGCCCAGTGTTCTTCCCGTCGCTGGCAATCTTCCCCCGCTCCAAGTGTGCTCACATTAATAAAGAATTCAGAGGTGAGCAAGAGCTCCTCAGAATATGTCAAGGACTGGGGGAGAAAAGTAGCATCAGGGAGAAAAATCCATTAGAAAAATGAAAAACAAGATCAAGCCAACCATGAATTTCACACTGCAGGACTACCAGGTTGCCCTATTAAATTGCATGTAAGGAGAAAAATAAATGAGAGGGGTGAAATTAGGAGAAGCAGAGACCTACGCAGTACTGAAGCACCTGAAAATCTCCAGGAATTCAAATAAGATATTTTAAAAAAAGAAAGAGAAATTTCATTGTATTTCCAAGCATTTTCTCTACCAAATCTACACATGAACATATCCTCTGTTTTCCAGAGCTGTAAGTGTATACCTCATGTGTGTGGGAAGAAAGAGAGGCTCTAATATTAAGGCATTTGTTCCAAAAACTTCTCTTCTTCCCTGTTTTCACCTGCCAGACTTCCCTGTCTGATCCATCTTTCCCTCTCCTTCAAGGTTTTCCTTCAAGGGTTTGGGTTCAGCAAGGATGTGGTCAAGAAAATCCTTGAATGCTCACCCCAGAGCAAGAAATTTGGGCAGGAGATAATAGACTAAGCAGCCTGCAAAGTGCAAAGGTTCAGAAGTCTCAGGTCTCAACTAAATCCAGAGGTGAGACCTTAATTAAACCATCAAATTGCTTTATGATTCAGAATCAAAGTACAGCATGCCCCATCCTCTCCTATTTCCATCAAATACATGTCCTGGACATAAAGGGCTCCAGTTAATTAAGAAGGATTGTTGAAATCATGTAAAGCATCAGAAAAAAACCTCAGAGGTAGGGTCATTTATTTCAAAAGGGAGCATAAAAAATTAACAAAATCACAGTGCAGCACTCAAGGGGAAAAAATTGAATGATGCCCATTCTTAACTTGAAATACTTTGCACTTAAAACTTTGCAGACTTGGGTTCCCAAATGGGAAATAGATGTGCTTTGGACCCCAGTAAATACAGCATAGACTGTTTCACTACATGCCTGTTCATTAAAATCTATGAATATATTAATTAGAGCAATCCTTAACTCTGCTCACAGTACAAAAACACTGCATACATATAAATTCGACTGAAACCACATTAAGGATGAGAGTTGCCAAGGTTCAAAGAGCAGGGGTACCAAAACAACTGGCTAAAAGTGTTCCAAATAAACCAATCCAAAGACCAGAATACATAAAATATATTTTAAATATAATATCAGAATATATAAATATATATTTGTCAGAATATATAAATCTATTTTTCAGAATATATCAATCTATGTATCAATATATAAATATTTTATATTCAATATTTTACATTTAATATCAGAATATTTTTCCTGTACAAAGCTGACTGTATTAATGAAGTTGTTTCCTATGAGAAGACATACAATAATTTGAGTCATTTTAAAGTAAAAGGTTAATGGATATAAATTACCAGAACTGGTAGAGACAAATCATCTCATTAAGCCTGCTGACATTCCAGGATTCAGTTGTAACACAACTGCACCAATCAGTGATCCAGCAGCCTCTAATTAATTTGTTTTCTCAGCCATTTCCAACTGTGAGAAGGAAGGAAAGTTTCCCAATGCCAAAGTCTCATTTTGGGGGGAACCCAGGGATGTTTTCAGGTCAGGGGAACAGAGCCTTGTGAAGAGATTTCCTGAGATCAGAACAAACCGTTTAAACCAACAAACAATTCTTGTCCTGCTCAGAAATGAGATGTGGACATGACCAGGGGCAGACCCTGGTGCTGGGATCCAAATCCAAATAAAGAGTGGCAGCTCCATAGGAAGGAGCCCTTTCCAGGAGCACTTTTGTGACTCAGTTCCTACATCTCCTCTTTGTTCTCCTCTCCAAGCCTGATTTCTTGTCTTCTGGCAAGAAATCTCCCTCCCAGAGTGCATGGCATGCTGGCATCTCATCACTGATATATCTGCTTCAAGCCAAGGCTTTCTTCATCTTAATGTAAAGAGATCCATCAGCAGAAAAATGCCAAATGATCTAGCTGTCCTCAGAGGTGACCAAACCTCCATACTGGATTTCTTACTTAACTGATTCCATCTAGAACAACTCCAGATTCCAGGTTCTCCCTAACACCTTCCATTCTGTCTTTGCTGCACCACAAATCCCCCCAAACCCAGAAAAATGAATATATCTATTTCATTAATACTTGACTAACAGCACCAGTTAGTGCAACTGCAAAAATACTTCATTTTTACAACTAAACACAGCAGTAGTTCTGTTTTCAGTTGGCACAGCTAAAACAGTTTGCTTGGATTAGTGTATTTGAAGTAATCTCGTTAATAATTGCCCAAATGGAGATGATGTTGAGCTGGGGGTTGCAGCAGCTGAAATTAGACAGATCCATTACAATAATGCTCCCATTTTAACTCCAAGCTAGGCCTGCATTTTGTACCTAAAGCTGTGAAGCAGAGTCCTCTTCATACACATAGGAATCATCTTCCTAATCTTCACATTTCTTAAAAGAAATCCTACTGCCAAAAATTCAATCTGGAAATTTCTGGAATTCCTCAGAGCACATCATCCACTATGAAACTCTGGATGTGAGGAAATGGTTCAGTTCTTGCCCCAGCAGAAATTTGAATGCCAGGGCTATACTTAAATCTTTTCAAAATATATTTGAATGCCCTGGGTCTGGTTAAAGGAATCTTTCCCAGA